CACTTAAATATACCAGTTCGATATATTAGCAATTGTTCTTGAAACACTTTTATCAGTAAAGCTATGGACGACTGTCAGTTTATGTTAGATATAAAACAATGTTAAATTTCGTTGTTTGAATATATATATGGGACAAAGGCTACATCATTTCTGTAGCAGTTCTATTATTGGTTCCTAATTCGCTATATTGCATATTCTGGAACCAGTGTTATTTTTATCCACATAGGTGGAAATGACGAAACCTCACACTCAGACGATGGCAGTGATTCTGAACCGGCCCTGACGTTGAAGCGAAAACAGCGCCGCTCGCGGACAACTTTTACAGCAGCTCAACTAGATGAACTTGAAAAGGCTTTTGAGAGGACTCAGTACCCAGATATTTACACGAGGGAAGAACTAGCCCAGAGAACAAAACTGACAGAGGCTCGGGTGCAGGTTAGACAATGTTTAATGAACAAGATAACGGATAACTGAATTGAAAACGAAATATTTGTAAAATTTACATTTTGACCCAGTTCAAGCATAATTTGAACAAACAACGTTTTCTGTTTATGTAGCAAGATATTACATATAACCCTAGACATTATATAACTGAATGTAACATTGAATGAGTTGAAAAGAATCTAAGTATTAATTTACTTCAAAAATGAAGTTCACGGGGATGACGATTTCCCAGCGCACATTTCAACAATCCAAGTGGATATCGTTCCCAGTTATGTTGCGTAATGTTTCTTGGGACACGCAGACCACTTTTACCACTGTGCTTTTGGTTTATGGATTCTCATCTGTTACAAAATGATCCATGCATAGTAAGAAACGTGTGCGGCATTTTGTAACAGGTGAAAATCCACAAACCCAAAGATCAGAGGCAAAAGCCGTCTACGTACCCTAAGGGCCCGCATGGTTAGGGGGCGCTCAACTCGAAATCTGTAGGTCGCGGGTTCGAATCCCAGCCCCACCAAACATGTTCGCCCTTTCAACCATGGGGGCGTTATATAGTGACGGTCAATCCCACTATTCGTTGGTAAAAGAGTAGCCCAAGAGTTGGCGGTGGGTGGTGATGACTGGCTGCCTTCCCTCTAGTCTTACACTGCTAAACTAGGTACGGCTAGCGCAGATAGCCCTTTGCGCGAAATTAAAAAAAAACAAACAAACATACCCTAAGAAGCATTACGTAACGTAATCAAGAATGATCCACTTGAAAATGCGGCACGTGCATACACAGGTTATTTCCATGAGATTTAACTTACCTGACATGACTCGATACTACGAGTCGAAACGCTTTCTAATTATTAAAAACAAAACTTCTCTAATGTAAAAGTTGCTGTTATTGTATTAATGAATTAACTTCTTTAACTAATGTGACTAGATTTAATATTGATTTGAAAAAGTTGTTGTTGTTTTAGTTTTATTGCGATAAATATCTTTTGGCTCACCTAAGAGCTATGATGATATTTGGCATGCTGAACATTTTGAGATCATTTGACGAATTTGAAACAATTTCATGTTTTTGCATTTGGCAGTGATTGAAATTGATATTCGGCCTGTTTTCACCTGAATTCAGTTCCAGTTCTTTCTTGGAATATCGCTTTTTATTTGAAAACTAATACCGCGTTTCGTTTTGTGTGATTTTACGCTAGGAAAAGTGTAACAAAACTTTCCAAACTTAAGTGTGGCTATCACGTTTGTTCCTTTCTGGCTTTCCAATCATCCATGATTAGAAACAACTCTCACCCTGAAATCTTTGTAGTTACGGTTTGTGTGAGCCCCTATAACATAAAACACTAAATATCTGAATTCTGATGTTACTTTTAATTTAAAATATTCTAGAACTTCTTGAATGTAAAGTCCAGTTATTGAAATTAAACTTTAATGTATCATTGAATTGTAACAACCAAACTTAAACGCTGTATTGGTTTAAATAAATACTATGCAAAATCACATACAGAAAAACGTACTGAATTTTGTGAGTTGGAGGGAGCCAACTTTATAAATATAAATCTGAACACGGAAATAAACAGACTTGCTTTTGATTCGTTTTGATAAATATCCCGACACTAGTTACATGTTGCTTATTGTTATTTGTTGATTAAAATGAGAAATTAATCAATTAAAATATCTTTATATATATATATATATATATATATTGCAACCTTATACCCGCCTCTTACCTACCAGTCAAGCTCACGGGGTTTCTCAGCGCAGTTCAGAAAGGGCGCGTAAGCGTCGTCGGCTGTCACCTGAAGGTGCGAAAATAAGTAATGGTTCGTCACGCCCTCTGTCGGTAGGCCCCTTATCATCAACTAAAGGCGTCTATTCACTGCGGTAGGTGGAACTATGCGGCCTTAGAATTACAGGGAGAATTAGTCGAGCCGGACAGTGACACCACTAAGCTTATGCAGAGCTGTCTGACTAGAGTTGGGCCAGGTGTGCACGTAACGAGCGATACGAATCTGCTGTTGCTCTGAATGCCTAGGCCTAGGGAGGGGTCACCCACCAAGAACGTTCACATCCTCAGCAGGTGCACATCGAGCTGTTCGCTGATGAAAAATCAACCATGTTGATTGGTTGACAGCTAGATTCCATGTTTTCAAGGTGCAAAACTACAATCAGAACCAGAACGAAGAGTGAAGTTGAGAACAAGGACTAACATCGCATCCTGCTGTTCAGGTTAATAACAGGTTGACAGCTTCAGCGTTTTCTCGCAGGTTTCCTCACTCGTTAGCTCATGTGTTCAATTAGCAAGTCTTAAGAAAACTGTAACTGATTGACAAGAATCAAGCTGTTTTTCTATAACACTTCGTACACTGAGATGCAATCATTTTTATACTCTTCGCCTGTTGACGTCCTTTCTGTAAAGTTCTTCCGTAAATATAGTCATGTGTAACAAGTTGATACATCCGAAGTTGATGAAACAAAGGAGATCTAGACTCATAAAATCAAACTTTTTAAGGATATTTGTACATATAGGATCATGCCACTGAGATGACAAACAGCGTATTCCACAGTGTTAAATGTTCATATAAATGATAATAATAACTTTCACACAAACATATGAAGTAGAATAAATACACCAAATTACGAACCAGAGAAAAACTTGTTCAAGTGATAACTAGCAAGCGTTGTCACATTAAATCTCGGATCCTGAAATGCACGTGTAGCTTGTATAGAACTTGTTAATAATGTGTTCTTCTGTAGGTGTGGTTCAGCAACCGGCGTGCTAGATGGAGGAAACAAATAGGAAGTCAACAACTGACCAATTTCAGCACCCTTGGACTACCCATGGCCTACCCAACAAATGGACCCTATATTCTAGCAGGCTCCAGTCCTACACAAGGTAAAGTGTTGTCATACATTTTTGTATTTTGAACTTGATTATCGTGTTCGTTTTTATTTTGTAATTGAGAAAATATCATTGTCCCAGCAGGGGTTGAGTCGGTCGCAAATAGTCTCCAGTCTATATAGACTACACTCGAGTGAAAACTTGAAATTTTCTAAACAAAACATTCTGTGGTTGTTCTATGATAAAAAAAAAGAATACATTACGGAATGTAGTGAGAAGTGCAAATGTAACCTGAACTTGTTATTAAAATGATTGTGGAGTACAAATCATACTGAAAATTGCAGTGTATGAAAAACTACTTAAAATTCAAGTTTTAATTTTCGTGTGAAATTTTATAAGTTCCAAATAAATTTCGTTATACAAAAATATATAACATAAAATATCGCAATGTATGTTGTATCGTACACGAAAACACAACATACAGTGGATTTATGTTTGGATTTTGTTTTATATTATGTAATGCCGTAATTTGGCTTTTGTCCTATATATATATATATAAAACAAAATCCAAACATAAATCCACTGTATGTTGTGTTTTCGTGTACGATACAACATACATTGCGATATTTTACGTTATGTAATGCCGTAATTTTGCTTTTGTCCTATATATATATATATATGCCGATCATATGTTATATTTCGTATTGTACACGTACATATGCTGATTATATGTTTTATTACATCCATGCTGTGTATATGTCTGTACTGTACATGTACGTATGCCGTTTATATGTTATATTTTGTGTGCTACATTATGATAAAGTATATTGTGTGTTTGTGTACTATATCATCAGAGTAGTACATTTTGTGTGCTACATTAGGATATAACTTATTGTGTGTTTGTGTACTATATCATCAGAGTAGTACATTTTGTGCGCTACATTAAGATATAATTTATTGTGTGTTTGTGTACTATATCATCAGAGTAGTACATTTTGTGTGCTACATTATGATATAATATATTGTGTGTGTTGGTGTACTACATTGTCAGAGAAGTATATTTTATGTACTACCTTGGCAGTGTAATATACTGTGTTTATACTACCTTGGCAGTGTAATATACTGTGTTTATACTACCTTGGCAGTGTAATATACTGTGTTTATACTACCTTGGCAGTGTAATATAATGTGTTTATACTACCTTGGCAGTGTAATATAATGTGTTTATACTACCTTGGCAGTGTAATATACTGTGTTTATACTACCTTGGCAGTATAATATACTGTGTTTATGATATTAGAGCGTATTATATCGTGTTTACAAATTCATGAGTAATCCAGACCTTTCCAAACCTAAGTGGTGTTCCTGATATCCCTGTATTTTCCCTTCTTATATTGTAAATACTTAATTAACTTGCATGAAACTTAAAACTTACCAAACAGTTATAGTTTCTGCTTAATCAAAGTTTATATAGTTTGGTTTACTTTTCTTATCATGTTGGAGATCATTGATTTTTCCCAAATTCTTTTACGAGATACTGTTTTGAAAAAAATAAATAAATAAATTTCATCACCTTGTGTTAGAAATTCAATTTTTTGTATTGTTATCGAGTTTCAATTTGACCGATATTTATTAACATGTTTTATTTGATCCTTTGTTTTGCTGACAGGAGTAGTCACAACTTCTGGCTATACATCACACAAAATACGATAAAAGCTGACATGGATTTATCACTTAGTTAAGACTTCACTTTTCAATATTGTGTCACCGTTAGCTTTGTGGAGCTAGGTGTCGTGATTGCTGCTAACGATATTTATTATCGAGATCAATATATATCTAATAAATATAGTTTATTTTCACCAAAGAATAAGTTTTATATTTGTAGTTTATTTTAATACGATAATAATCATCAATAAATATGGGGTTGTGAATGATCAAAATGTTTTTCCTTTTCCGTCATTTGTTATGTCCTAGTGTCTAATGATTAGGGTACTCGAATCGCAATCTCCGTGTCGCAGGATCGAAACCCGTCGCCTAACATGCTCGTCTTTTCAGCAGTGGGACTGTGGAGACGTTATGATATGACAGTCAGTCCCACTACTGGCTTATAAAAAGTAGCCTAAGAATCAGCGGTGGGTATTGTTGATTAGCTGTCTTCCCTGTAGTCTTATCACTTCAAAATTAGGAAGGGCTAGCGCGAAATTCGACAACAACCCTTTTTCCTTCGCCCATCATGCTCGCTAAACTTACCTAAGCTCATCTAGATAATTTTAAAATAATATGTGATATTAAAGAGTATTATATGTGTTATAGATTTTTAAAAAAGCATTCAAAGAGTGTTGAAAATGCATCTGTTTTTATTGTTTGTCTTCGTGGTTTTATCCATTCTCGAACTCAATATGCTTGAGTGGACGAAAGAGATTCAGGTTTTAAGCCAAATCAAAATAAAGCTAATTTACTTTAGAAAATAGTTTTACTAAATATACAATATATGGAAACTAAAACATGAATGTCACATTATCTTCCAGTTGGAATTTGTTTCCTGCCGGCATTCCTTTACTACTATATGTTTTGCTCCTTCAACTAGGAGACGAAGAATTTTACCACTACCTATTTCTTTCTCTTAGTCTAAAACAGATTTTAATCTGTTGTTTTCAGTGTGATATAAGAATGTTTAGATTTATTTAAAAACATCAGAATAGTGGCATTACAGCAACTTGAGCAGTTGTTCGATACCCAGATTCGGCCAAAAGTTCGGTTCTGTGCATACAGGTTCTAACTTGGCTGGAGTCACTCATTACCTTGTCTCTAGACCAGTAAAGAAACTTTAATGAGTTTGTGGCGGCATCTGTTGGATCTACGTGGAATGTTAATGTAATACTTGAAATTTAGATTTTGCTTTAATTAATAAACCATACTCTATCATTACTTATACTACAGTTTTTAATAGCTGTATTTATACTGATGCAGTATTTTTGTGATGTAGTACATAACATAGAGTTGTTTTACTTCAATACGTATATTACATAGATGTTATATGTCTGGCAATTACGTCATACGCGAGAAAAATGCCACGTTAGTAAATAAATGAATGCAGAACTGTGTTTTTCAGATCCGTCAACGTTGCATCACCCCGTTCAACCCGCGTCCTCAGTGCCACTCCACCATCAAGGCGTGCCTATGAATGACAACCGTATGAACTTGAGTTACACCAATCACATGGCGGATTCCTCGTATGTTTCAACAATGTCCACCCTTCCCTCTCAGGTATCTTTCAAAAAGTTCCAGCTTTACTTAGCAAATACTCAAAGTGCGAAGGAAACCTTCGTGGTTTTTTCGCTCTTCTACTCAGTTAAATATTATGTTACAATAGCTGTGAATAATGTAACATTTCATGTTTGAAATAAACAGGATATTTAAGAAGGATGAATGTAAAATAAGTTAAACTGTCTGAATTCCCTTCTAGAGATAAAATCGTAAAAGTCATTACAAATGTGTTTTTAGCAGATAAAACGTTATTCGTGACTGTTCTTCACCATGTCTGTCAACAATAACGAATTACCCTTCTAACTCAACAGATTACCTTTTCTTAAAATTTTGAAACGACTTGAATGGTACTTGATTGAAAACATCTTGTCGAAACGTTGCACATTTGTTACCATTTTATTTTTGTAATAAAGTTTTCTTCGTTATCCATACAAGCCGTCTCCAAACTTTAGTAGTTTCAAAGTTGATTCCTCATCATCAAATGAGATTACCTCTCGTTCAGTAATAACGAAATTTCTTTGTTGGCAATAACGAACTACCCTTTATGGTTCAACACATTATCTGTCTGTCAACAATAACGAACTACTATTTCTAGCTCAACAGATTTCCCTCTGTCAACAATGACCTTCCCTTTCCAATTCCACATATTATTTCTCTGTCAACAATAACGTACTCTCTGTCAACAGTGAATCAATCTGTTGAGCTAGAAAGGGTATTTCTCTATCAACAATAACGTACTCTCTGTCAACAATGAACTACCCTTTCTAGCTCAACAGATTATTTTATCTGTCAACAATAACGTACTCTCTGTCAACAATGAACTACCCTTAGTATCTCCCTGTAAATAAAAAGGTACTCTCTATCAACAATAACAAATTATCCTTTCTAGCACAACAGATTATTTCTATGTCAAAAATAGCTGACTATTCTTTCTGCTCAATCCATAATGTTTGTGAGATGTGTACTTGAAATATGTTCACTTACTGAATTAGAATATAATGAATAACATATTACAGCGGGTTTAATGTATGCTTTAATGGACTTGATGTCTGTCTAGATGGTTCAATGCAGACTCTCTGATTATATTTGTGACCAATTTTTACATTTTATAAAAACAAACGTTTTTCCTGAGCTCTTTGCACCGAGTAACTGCAGTAATATGTTGGTGTAATTACTTGTAGTTATCCATATGTTCCTGAAATACGTGTTGGCGTAGTTACTTGTAGTTATTCACATATTCCTAACACACGTGTTGGTGTAGTTACTTGTAGTTATCCATATATTCCTGACACACGTGTTGGTGTAGTTACTTGTAGTTATCCATATATTCCTGACACACGTGTTGGTGTAGTTACTTGTAGTTATCCACATATTCCTGACACACGTGTTGGTGTAGTTACTTGTAGTTATCCATTTATTCCTGACACACGTGTTGATGTAGTTACTTGT